CCAACCGCAATGCAAAAGATAGGAAGAGATTTATCCACCAGACATGGTACTGTTGAATAAATAAAATCATTAGTAATGAGTGGTAGAGGTAATGGTCTATAAACCAGACGATGGACTGGAAGCTCCCCCCCCCCCCGTCTGATATTGCATAAGTGGGGCATGAGACGGGTTAAGAGTAGGCAGAGCACATGCTATGTTTTTCACGACGGAGAGGAAATGTATCACCAATAAGAACATGTGTGTTTAAAGATATTTGCTTCTCACCAATAATAATGGTTTTCCTCGGGTATTCACCTTGGTTGTAAGCAAATGTATAACACAATTCTTGGCTTGATAAATAAGTGAAGAATGGGACTTCTAATCTCACCACCTTTACTTTTCGTAAATTAGTCAAACCTTAACCCACTGGAATCCTACTTACATTTAGCGACTCTAATCAAAGTTTTGATGAAAGATTTAGCAAGAACATAACTTACGACTTATTTTTGCTATATTGACAAGTTGTGGAAGAAATGCATGATTCATTTTCGAGGGAAACATAGAGGTTTTCAAAAAAGCTATATATAATCAACAACACACATATGATCTAAACACAACCGTTTCCTGTATGAATTATCATACTATAAACCGCCGAAAATGTTGATGTCTTTAAGAAAATAACAAAAATTGTCATAACTAAAACGCAAGTATAAACATGCCAGTCTTGGTTTATGGCTTCACTGGAGATGAGACTGCAACCAGACCGCACCACCAAAAGAGATGTAGGATTAAGCGTGGTGATAAAGGATGACACCTTTTGCCACTGAAGAAGCTAAAGTGTTCCATGAAACTGTGACATAATCAATGGACCAAGAACCCAGCTTTGGAGATTGGTAATACTGAAAATTAGATAACGCAATTCTGTGAAACGCTCTGAATGTAACAAAAATTTTCAAGCTTCAATAGAAGAAGACTCAAGGAAAATATTCGTCTCATGAATTCAACTGCTACGATCATAAATCTGCAACATGCTTGAATTGTGAAAAGGAGAAGGTTCATAATTGTTGGACTGGAATATAAAGAAACATATTTTGTAATTATGTAATTGTATATGCGTTACAAAGTTATAGTTGTTTTTTTCTTATTGTTACAATGTGGAAACTGAGAAAGCACTATTTGATTAAATTATAGACATTAGTCAAAACATCCAAAACTGAAAAGATCTGTGTTACTTTGTTTGGTTTTAGTCTTTAAAGAGAAAATTACCCCTTAGAAAACATCTATATGTGGTTTGGTTCATCTTAATTTTCAAATTATCAATGGTTACACTACACTTAAATTATGTTGGCTAAATTACGTGAACCACTGTTAATCATTAGAAAATGTCCTACAAATAATTTTGTTATAAAATAAAGTTCAACAAATTAAAAATGATTTACAAATACTAATTAATAAAACAATAAAATTAAAAAAAAACATTATAAATTGAAAATCTAATATAAACTGAAACAGACATATATTATAAAACATGATTTGTTGTTAAATAATTTCATAAATTATTGTTTGTGACATTATTAAAATTATTTGTATATTGCCTTAAAATACTTCTATGATTTTATCAAATTATATTATATTTTCAATTGATTTAACTTGGTGGTCGTTTAATTTATTATCTTGATAAAATTAGTTATTGTGATAGTATTGAAACTATACTCACAGAAATAAAAATTAGTTGTTCATATTTCCCTCAACTATATTAAAGTGAAATACAAATAAAAAGAAAAAATATAAATCATTACAGTTATTAACTTTTAATTTCCTAATTTTGTGTTCTCTAACAAAAAATGTGAGAAGTCCTTTCAACTCAAACCAATAAAATTTACAATTTTATTTTTAAATTAATTATTTCATAGTTACAACTTAAAGTAATTTTCCCAAAATATTATAAAATAAAAATATTATTTGACCAACAAAATTAAAATATTTTAAATAATATTAATATAAAGTAACCTGCCCGTATGGCGGACCAACCACTAGTTGTAAACTAAAATATTCAATACTTACGGTGTGATAATTATTCAAACATAGACGCACGGCCGATCCGCCTCATTAAGGAAAAGATTGTCAATAAAATCTCTTGATTTCCGTGATTGTATGCTACAAGTGGAAAGTACCTCTGGGTGCAAAAGAAACTCAAAATGTCCCTTTAAGAAATCAACTTAAAAAAAAAAGAGAGAAAACAAACCGTTGTCATGATGGGCCTCTATAAGCTAAATCAACTTAAATAGGCCTATATTGGACTCTCAAGCTAGTTACATGGGCCGGGCTCATTTATTTTGTAGCCCATGTTGAATGCATTGCCGATGGTATTAAAAGCGCAGAAACCCTAGTTAAGTTCCGTCTGTTAAAATCGGTTCATAGTCGTTTAGGTTTTAGGGTTTTAGTGTCTCCTCCTCCTCCTCAAACCAACAAAACAATGGCTATGTATCTTCTCTACGAGTCTTCTTCTGGCTATGGTCTCTTCGAAGCGCACGGTCTTGATGAGATCGGACAGAACACAGAGGCCGTCCGGAGCTCAGTCTCCGACCTAAGTCGCTTTGGTCGTGTTGTCCAGTTAACAGCGTTTCACCCCTTTGAGTCTGCGCTGGATGCCCTCAACCAAGTTAACGCCGTCTCTGAAGGTATATTTTATTGTCACGTTTGGGGTGTTTCTGCCTTGATATTTTTTTTTGGAGCGTATATATGAGGATACTCTGCTTGTTGAACTTTGTCCTAGAAAAAGCTTCAATTATCTTTAATGGTTGATTGCTCTTGAGTTTGATGAAGTTATTGACCCTTTTTGGTGGCATGGCAGGGGTTATGACTGATGAGCTTAGAAGTTTCCTTGAGTTGAATCTTCCTAAAGTCAAGGAAGGCAAGAAACCCAAGTTTAGCTTAGGAACCTCTGAGCCTAAACTCGGTTCCCATATTTTGGAAGCCACCAAAATTCCCTGCCAGAGCAATGAGTTCGTTCTTGAGCTTCTCCGTGGTGTGCGTCTGCATTTTGACAGGTTCATCAAAGACCTAAAGGTGTGAACTCTTTTTTTTTTCTCTTTGTTTGTATTTTCACCTATGCGTTGTGTTTACTCATCTATGTTTTTATCCATTAAATGAACAGCCTGGTGATCTGGAAAAATCTCAACTTGGATTAGCTCATAGCTACAGCAGAGCCAAAGTCAAGTTCAATGTTAACCGAGTGGATAACATGGTTATTCAGGCCATTTTCCTCCTTGACACACTTGATAAGGATATCAACTCCTTTGCCATGAGAGTCAGGTTTGTTTTATTCAACCTTTTGCATCTCTGTTTTTATTTTGCCTTTGATAGATGAACTCTTTGTAATGTTGTTACAGGGAATGGTATTCGTGGCACTTCCCCGAGCTAGTGAAGATTGTTAATGACAATTATCTTTACGCCCGTGTTTCAAAGATGATTGATGACAAGTCAAAGCTGACTGAAGACCACATCCCCATGCTTACTGAAGTCCTAGGGGATGAAGATAAGGCAAAGGAGGTCGTTGAAGCTGGAAAAGCATCCATGGGTAAATGACCTATAAAGCTCTTGTGGATTTATTTGTGTTTGTAATCTCTACCTTTTATTTTGTTCCCTATGCCCAGGCCAGGATTTATCACCGCTTGACTTGATCAACGTACAGACCTTTGCTAAGAAAGTTATGGACCTCGCTGACTACAGGAAGAAGCTCTATGATTACCTTGTCGCTAAGATGAGCGACATTGCCCCCAATTTGGCGGCCTTGATTGGAGATATGGTCGGTGCCCGTCTTATTTCACATGCTGGAAGTCTGACTAACCTTGCTAAGTGCCCATCTTCTACCCTCCAGATTCTTGGTGCCGAGAAGGCGCTTTTCAGGTCCGATATCATACAGCTTACCTTTTATCAAGTCATTAAGTTTCTTTTAATGCATAACAGCGTGTGACATTTTGATCACTTGTGGTACGTGTTTCAGGGCTCTTAAAACACGAGGAAACACACCCAAGTATGGGTTGATCTTCCATTCTTCGTTCATTGGCAGAGCATCTGCTAAGAACAAGGGCCGTATCGCTCGTTATCTTGCAAACAAGTGCTCTATTGCGTCCCGTATTGATTGTTTCGCTGGTAATAATCTGAATAAGATATCTTAGTATTTTTGAGGCATGGTGTAAGGTATTAAATCAGGTACCCTGATGCAGATGGTGCAACAACGGCATTTGGTGAGAAGCTTCGGGAACAAGTAGAGGAGAGGCTGGAATTTTATGACAAGGGTGTTGCCCCACGTAAGAACGTGGATGTAATGAAGGAGGTGATAGAGAATCTGCAAAACAAAGGTATTATTATCTTGAAATAAGATTAAATGTTTTGGTGGTTGAGTCAGTGTGTGATGCGTGCCATCCTTATAGATGAGGAAGGGAAGGAGGCAGTGGAGTCGTCAGGAAAGAAAAGCAAGAAGAAGAAGAAGGCAAAGGGTGAAGAAGAAGAGGAGGCAGTGAATGAGGAGAAGTCAGAGAAAAAGAAGAAGAGGAAGATGGAGACAGAAGAGGAGAGTGAGAAATCAGAGAAGAAGAAGAAAAAGAAGAGTAAATCTGGCGGAGACGAGGAGACTGATGATGGTGAGAGCAAGAAGAAATCAAAGAAGAAGAAGTCGAAGAGTGAGGAATAGGTGGAAGATAACAAACCTATGATGTATTCTATTATTAAAATGTTTTTGCTGTGTTTTTCTTGTTAGTAAAACTCGGCTCTGGGGAAATCTTGTGTTTTGGTCTGAAAACAATTTGGTCTATTTACGCTAATATGAATGTGTTTTATTTTATTTTTGTTGATTAGTAGCATGTTATATTGTTGTCCATTGCTTAAGAGTAAGTATTCACATTTTGAAGAAGAAAAAGAACACAAAATAAAAAAAAGGTAAGATTGGGCCTGTGTGGACTGTACTATGGGCCATATATCAACCAGCAACCCAACAATAGTGGCAGATGCGCGGGATCTTCAATTTAACATTTTCTTAATGAAAAATGATTGATTGATAAATTAATAAAAATGCCCTAATTCTCACGAATCATATCATAATACGATTTGCATAGAAGCTGATTCATTTATTAATCCAGGGTAGTCTTATTATTATTCCTCTCTGGATCCCTATTTCTTTATAGAATATTACTAGAGTAGTTTGATTGATTAGGATCAAATCTGGTTGATTGGGATCGGGATTATGGCATCGTCGGCGTCAGGGAAGGTGGTGGAGAAGGGGCACCAGCTCTACAGGGACGGCAAGTACAAGGAGGCGCTTCTCTTCTATACTGAGGCTCTCTCTGCCGCTAAGTCCAAGTCCCAGAAGATCGCTCTTCACAGCAACCGCGCCGCCTGTTATTTGAAATTGCACGATTTCAAACAGGTCCTTTCCATCTCCTTTTCTTTATTTTAAAATCAAAATCAAAAGATAATCAATCATCCATGAGTTGGATTGAGAAACTAATAGCAGGAGTAATAAGCTCTTTTCTTGACATATTATATTATTCAGGCAGCAGAAGAGTGCACGTGGGTGCTTGAGCTTGATCAGAAACACAGCGGCGCGTTGATGCTCAGGGCCCAGACATTAGTCACACTTAAAGATTACCATTCTGCTCTTTTTGATGTCACCAGGCTCTTGGACTTGAACCCTGATTCTGAGGTCTACCAAAACCTTGAGGCTCGCTTGAGGACGCAGTTGGTATACTCTCTTTCTTCTCTTGTATAGCCCAGCCACTAGCTCTCTTCTTTCCTGTAGTGGGTTAAACGATCTCATGCCTTTTTTTCTTTGGTAAGGAAAGTCCCTTGCTCCAATTCCTGAAGAGGATGATGATGAACAAGAAGACACAGATGAAAAGTCAAGTAGGAACGGTGAGTGTATAGATAAGAGGTTTGAGTCATTAGTTTCCATCACAAGAGATGTAAGAACGAAGGGGGAAGAAGTTGTTGCACCTAAAACACCTGAGGTTAGAGAAGACAAGAGCAAGGAAGATGGGTCATTGTCCAATGCTTGGCAAGCCATCCCTAAGCCCAAGGGTCATTCCACACTCGATTATGCCCGTTGGGATTCAGTTGAAAACGACGACTCCAGTGAAGGAGATGACACCGATGAAGACAGTGACGAGGAGGATCAGCCTCAGTACAGATTCCGTGTTAGAACCGTCGGTGTGCGTCCTGTGAAGTGATAAAAAATATGTGTAGAGTTCATAGGGGACATGGATGGTTTCTTTCATTACCCTGATATTGTTGTTGCACACAAGAGCTGTGAAAAGAGAAAAGCCAGCCGACTGTTCATCTCCTCTGAGGCTGTGAGTAGTGATGTGATGTTATACATATTCGTTAAGAAAGCACATGTATAAGTCTTTATGTGATGTCACAATATACAAGAGGACCATTATCAAATGAAATGGTGCCATTCTTCTCTTGGTCAATGCTGTTTCACTATACACACCATATAAACTTTCTGTACAAGTGATGTCTTTGTTTTGTTTTTTTCACTAGTTTAATTTAAAACCGTTCGATTATAATAATACAACATCTCTGTACATTTAAAGAAGATGAAGGCATGTAGCAGATCTCCACGCGAAGCACAATGGCTGGAGGTATTGTATCATACTCGCCTTCAATACTCTTTCAAGTTATAAGTAGATAGTGACGTAAAAGTACGTTTATATAGATGCCAGCCCAACACAGTAGCCATGTTTGTGCTCGTCTATAATGAGATTCATTCAGAAATTGTAACCGAGCTATCAAGATAAGACTACGAGACTCTCTTGTGTTATTATAATGTTGATTAGCAAATAGGTTTTGGTATTCCTATAAAGATAACCTACTACGTTTGTGTATGATGTACCCTAAACCTTAGCTGTTTGGGCGGTGCTTCATTATGTTTCTCATGGCAACATTCATTGCAATATGATACAAACCAATTTGGACATGTGAGAGGATACTAACAACTCAATTTGAAAACTATTCCATTATGTTTTTTTGGTTTGTCTTTCAGTGAAAGAATCTTCTCCGACATCGAGCTGATCCAAGTTCTTCGTATTCAGCCTTGGTGACACACATGGACTCAAAATCTGGGCTCGAAGCCAAAAGTGAACCTCCTCTCCATACACCTAGTATGGGGCTGCAACCAAAAAAAAAAAAGGAAAAATAGTTTACAAAGAGCAGCAAATTAAAAGAGAAAGTTGGTTAATATGAAGAGAATGTTTTGAGTTTATTACTCCTCCTGAGTTGTTATCTTGACATCAAAGTTGTCTGGGACAAGTGGTCGAAGCTCTCTTTCACTGCATTAAACCGTAGCTCTAATAATTCACCACTGATAAATGATCGATCGTATAAAAAAACTAAACTTACAGCCTCTCCTTAAGTTGTGGAAATAAGGTGCTTCCACCAGTTAAGATGATGCTGACACAAAAATGCAACAAACATGAGACAACACAGCTCTCATTAATTCAATGGGGGCAAGTAAAAAAAAAAAACAGATTACCTTTGGTACAAAACAGGTTGCAAGTAAGAATGGCATGAACTAACAGCTCGGACAATGCACTCTGCAAGTCCCGCCTGATTCATCCCTGTCCAAAAGTAGAGTAGCATCAACATCTCTCCCGACAAAACTTGAATCTCCTATAATAATTAAGACGATATTCTTGGTTGTTGAGAGAACAAACCTAGATCTGCAGGCTGGAATAAGGTCTCAGGTACAAGAAAACGCTCATTTGTCAAATCAATCTCCTACAAAAGAAGCAAGAAAAATTCTAAAAAAAAAAAAGAGCCAAAGAAAGATAGGAAGAGAATGGGGTGGAGAAATATTGTGTGTTTACGTTTTTGTTCATGTCAGCCTTTTTCCTCTCACCGTCACCCTTATCCATGACATTGGTAGCTCCTACATGTGATAACCCGCCTAAAGTAAGGAAGTTGTTAGCGGATTCAGGATCTTTGACATAACCTTTGGTATGTGTGACACCATCAGGAAGAACATATGTAGACTTAATCACATTCCCATTACGCCGCTCCCTGTATACAATTCCTTACATAAAATGATTGATCGATGAAGAAAAAGAAAAAGAGAAAGAGAGAGAGAGGAAGGAACCGAGCAAGGTTGAGATCACGGTGGAGGTCAAGAGAGACGAAACAGAGCTTCTCTTTAGCATCATCCATCAAGAAAGTCTGATCCATGACATTGATAGATCGATAAGAGACCAATTCCTTCAAGTAATTAGTGAAAGCTTTCCCTCCCAGGTCGATCCTCTTGACAGCGTAATTGAGCGTGAAGTTGTGGAGGACGGGGACGGCGTGAGTGAAGGAGAAGCCGCAATCCACGACGAGGCTACACTGAGTCCGCGCGAGGATGGAACCAGGCTGGCGACTAGCCTCGTAGAGATGGACGAGGGACTGAGGATTAGCGAGGTAGAGAGAAGAGAAGCCGAAATCCTCGAAGACGAGCTCGTCGGTGGCGCGCTGAACGGAAGGGATGGAGAGCGGTGGCTCCGTCAGGAGGAGAGAGGAGGAGGTTGGGGTGACGCGGAGGAGTGAGGTGAAGAGGTGTGACCAGATGTCGCGTTGCAGTTCAGGGTTTATGAGGTAGCCTCGGTCGATGGGGCGGCGTACGGCGGCGGAGGTGAGGTCGATGTCGGTGTCGAGGTCGGAGAGAGGAGGAGGGAATGTGAATTTCTTGGAGGAGAGAGGTTTGAAGAGGCAGTTTGGGATGACGACGAGGGGATCACGCTCCCCGCCTTGCCCTGCTTTGATTAGACCGCCGCCGTTGTCTAGTACCACTATGTTGTTCGACATTTCACGACCACGGAGATTGTTTGGGTTTCTTCTTCTTCTTCGTCGACACACTCCCTTTTTTTTTTTTAACAAAACCAACCTAAGTTGGTGACTTCACCGGTTTTACTCTAACCGAAGAAAAGACCACATTTAAATTTTACTTTTTTACATAATCAAGTGCGAAGTCTCTTAAGCGTTGCGGTCATTGTCAAATGAAAAAAAAAAGAGAAAATCTGCAACCTGGCTAGTATGTTCGAATTGCTCAAAACACTCGAGCGAGGAAAAAAAGATCCATACAATACATGTCTGCAAAAAGTTTTGAAATGCATTCAGTTCCATGGATTTCAAAGCTAGTTTGTGAGAAGATTGCCACCATTGCATTTCACCTATCCCTTCTCTCTCTTCTCCTTCCCTTATACTCTCTCTCACTCCCACGATCTTCTCTCATCTCTTCATGCCGTCTTCTTCTTCTTCTCCTCTCTTCATCTTCCCTACTCTCTCTTTCACATCTCTCCCTCTGTTTCTTCTCCCTACTCCCACCATCATCATACCTCCTCTCATCTTCCCTATCATGTCTTCTACCATTGTACTTACTACCTTCCTTGTCCTCGCCTTCATCTCTCTCTTGTCTTTTGCCTTCACCAGAGACACGAGGACTTCTCCTTTCATCTCTCTCTTGTCTTTTGCCTTCACCATACCCATCAGGACTTCTCCTCCGAATCTTCTCCTTGTCATGACTCTTCTCCCTCTTGGGCCTTTCAGCTATGTCACCCTCAAACACCATATCATACCCTTCACCTCCTCCGTGCTGTCTGTTTTGATCCTTTACTATGAACTTTGAAGCCCCCTGATTACCACCACCCACACAGTCCTTGGCTACATGATCCGTCGACCCACATTTGAAACATCCATTCCCTGTTACACCACCATATTACTTTACATCATCAGAGCATTCAATGTCACTTGTGAGTCTATGGGATCAATAAGGATAGAGAAAGGCCGTACCTTTGCCCTTTTGCGAGTCTTTCTGCCGAAACTGTGACCAAAGTTTGGACACACTCTGACTGAAGGCCACATGTATTCTTCTATCATCTATCAAAGCATTGTCCATCTGTAAAGCAAAAACATTACTTAAGACCTCCCAAAATTCCATTTCAATCTTCATTCAGTTCCTAAGCTTGCTACAATTTACACTTTAAATATACCTTATTGTAGGCTTGTTCGCATGCCGCCTTCTCCTCAAACTCTATATAACAAACAAAAAACTCTCAGCAAACACACATTTTTATACATATACTAGAGAAAAATTCCAACAGCAACCATATAGCAGGACTCACCTATAAAAGCGTAGCACAAACTGTCACCAGTTTTGAAATCCCGGATCACATCAGCCCTGCCATTTTCACAACAGTTGAGTTTTCAACACGAATACAAGGAGGAATCAAGTAAATATCACTCACGATATAACAGTTCCAAAGCGTGAGAAAATGGTATGCAGATCCTCATCCTGCATGAGAAAAGGGAGAATAAAAAATGAACAAATTGTCACAAACAAAAGAAAGAAGCCTTTGCTTTTAGCTAACTCTATATATAGAGCATCTACCTCAGTCACAGGATTCAGTTTGCAGACAAACAGCACATTCTCAGGAGGCTTGACCTCGGCCTCAGGGATATCTCCTATCTGCAATAGCAAATACAGGCTAAGGTATTAAACGTGATTGGTATAAAAATACAGCTAAGCCCAGGACACTTACACTTTCAAGTACAACAGCACTAGAATGGGCAGCTTTTTCGCGGATAACCTCCTCCAGTTCATGAGCATCAAGTTCTTCATCCATTGGAACCCAATCATCTTCAAGACGCACGTCAACTTCAACCTCTTCCTTGGGTTTTCCTTCGGGGGAAGCATCTGGTATCATCCCAGCTAGTTGTGTGGGATCTTCAAAGGGATCTTCAAGTATATAAGTGTGCTTGATTCTAATGTTTTTATAAGGTCTGTTTTTGGCATCAACATAAGCTTAGTTTATCCTAGTCAAAGTGTCAAGCCCCTCGGCAATCTCCCCAAACACCTGACAAAAAAAAATGAAATGGCATATGTTGATTGTAAGTAAGTAACATACAAAAGAAGAAATCATCATAGGGAGAACCTGTAAATGTGCTTACAGTGTGTTTTCCATCAAGATAGTCTAGATCATCACGAAGTGTAAAATAAAACTGCAAAGAAACAGACAAATGAGGAGGACAACAATATTTGATCCATACCAAATTGGTGTCGTTACAAATGAGTTGGGGGATACCTGGGAAGCATTGAGATTCTCGCCACCACTAGCCATAGCAACAGTGCCAGTTTTGGAGTGTTTTAAATCGAGATGAATCTCATCTCCAAAAAAGCGAGCCTGCTCACCATACAGAAATCTGGAAATTCAAGATAACATGCACAAGATGATGATTACAGTTGACAGATTTAATTGGAAATACTGAAAACAGAAACACAGAGAGAAGGAAGGGAGGAAGGATTAAAAAAAAGAAGAAGCTTACTTGTAGATGGAATCACCGCGAAGACCAGTACCAGTAGGATCACCAGTTTGAGCAGTGAAATCCTTTTGGACAGTGTGGAAGAGGCAACCATTGTAGTACTTGATCCTAAGAGAGAGTAAAATAGTGAGTCATCTATTAAGTAACATGTCTTAGGAGGGAGGGAGAGAGAGAGAGAGAGAGAGAGAGAGAGAGAGAGAGAGAGAGAGAGAGAGAGAGAGAGAGAGAGAGAGAGAGAGAGAGAGAGAGAGAGAGAGAGAGAGGTTTGCTTACTTGCAGAGCTTGAGGAAGTTCTTGCAAGTCAAAGGGCATTTAGTGGAGTACAAATCAATGACAATGTCCCCAAGACTTGTCACAATTAGAACTGACATTGTTGTCTTCCTGAAACAAAACAAAACTATAATTGAAAGTGAGAAGCAAGTAGGAAGCTTTAACGGGAATGAAAGCCAAGGACAAAAGACGCAGATCGCTACAGATGAATGAAGTTGACTGGGGTTAAAACAAAGTTTACTATAACTATTCACATCTGGCTGGGTTTACCTATTGATTTAACAAAATGATTGAAGATTCTCCTATTCCAAACCATAATTTAGGGTTTTAAACCCCAGTTTCGATATTTGATGATCGTATATGTTTTCGAGTACATTTACTATTGTAAAAAGCCTCGACAGTAATTACTGAAATAAAGTAAACGAAGCCCAATTGTTGGCCCATCTTCATCAGTCCGGTTCGTATGCAAGG